TCCTCCTGGTGATTATGATCCTCTGGCGGCCATCCAACAACAACCAAGTGAGTTTCATGGTGTGTGAGGGGGAATTGATAGTAATTTGATTATAAAGGAGGAGTGGAAGGAAGAAGAGTAAGGAGGGGTAGAGAGGATGGAGAAGGAAGGAGAGGAGGTTGAAGAAAAATAACAGAGAAGCAGAAGAAATATCCTGATGTGGGGAGTTCGACATTTGTGTTGCTGTGGTTTTAAGGACATATATCGATGTGAGTGTAATTTGATTATAAAGGAGGAGTGGAAGGAAGAAGAGTAAGGAGGGGTAGAGAGGATGGAGAAGGAAGGAGAGGAGGTTGAAGAAAAATAACAGAGAAGCAGAAGAAATATCCTGATGTGGGGAGTTCGACATTTGTGTTGCTGTGGTTTTAGGGACATATATCGATGTGAGTGTAATTTGATTATAAAGGAGGAGTGGAAGGAAGAAGAGTAAGGAGGGGTAGAGAGGATGGAGAAGGAAGGAGAGGAGGTTGAAGAAAAATAACAGAGAAGCAGAAGAAATATCCTGATGTGGGGAGTTCGACATTTGTGTTGCTGTGGTTTTAAGGACATATATCGATGTGAGTGTAATTTGATTATAAAGGAGGAGTGGAAGGAAGAAGAGTAAGGAGCGGTAGAGAGGATGGAGAAGGAAGGAGAGGAGGGAGAAGAAAAATAACAGAGAAGCAGAAGAAATATCCTGATGTGGGGAGTTCGACATTTGTGTTGCTGTGGTTTTAGGGACATATATCGATGTGAGTGTAATTTGATTATGTTGAAGTTAGAAAGGAGGAGTGGAGAGAGGAGGGAGAGGATGGGAAGGAGGAGGAGGAGAAGAAAAATAACAGAGAAGCAGAGTATTAAATACTTTTTTCTTTATTTTCAGCGCTTTGCCTTCTCACCCTTATTAGACGATGGATCAGATGCCGATGATGAAGAGGAAGCTGAGAAACTGATGGCTGATGTTTCTGATACAATGAAATTCCGAAATACACGTAATTCGACCTCATCATCACCTCGGGAATCGCGCTCTGTGGTACGTTGAGAGGAAATAAATCACTTGTGTATTCTCCATCCAGATTTGCATGCATTTCTAGATGGGTTTATTTTGGTATAGAGATTTTTGTGATTTCTCCAAATGTTAATGGAAGAACAGAATTACTTTATCCTATTGTGTGTGTTTGTGACTGGAAATTTTTGCCTGTGATTGTTTGATCATGATGTGGTTTTCAACTTGCAGGAAGATGATTTGAAGTGGGTCGAGGAAAATATCCCATCATCAATTGCTGATAGGTGAGCTTTCTTCTTCTTCTTCTTCTTCTGGTGCATTCTATGGATAAATAATGTATATGGAAATTACTTTAGAGAGGAAATGTAATAATGATTTTTTTCCCTGTCTTTTATTTCAGTGCTCTTCCCATTCTGGACTCAGATGAGGTAAATAGAATATTTTTGTAATAGACATGAATTTTACCTATATACATTGTTAAGCTTAGTTTGGTTGCTCTGGTGTTCTTCTAATTTGGTCATATATTTTTTTTTATATTTAGGATGTAATTAATTTTTCTTTCGTCTTTCAGGAAATTGTTACCATCAAGTTTGAAATTTCAAAGATGCAGTGAGGTCTCTGCAGAAACTTCTGTGACATTACAGGTCCATTCCATTACCCAGTGGCACTGATGCTGTTGGGACCCATTACATATTGTATCCATTACCTCAAAGTTTGAAATTTCAAAGATGCAGTGAGGTCTCTGCAGAAACTTCTGTGACATTACAGGTCCATTCCATTACCCAGTGGCACTGATGCTGTTGGGACCCATTACATATTCTGTCTCCAAAGTATAGGAACAAATGGTTCTCTCCCCATTGCCCACCTTATTTCCTCTCTTGACTTGTAAGTTATTGAAAGACAGATTGTGCCTAGGTTAAGCCTTAGAGTGTGAATGGAATCGTCTGAGAGAGTTAGTGAATTATGGAATTACTGTAAAGTTCTCCTTATCATGTAATGCATGTTTTCATCAGCATCTGATTTAGTCATTGTGTTTGAAGGCTTTTCTCTGCTCTTGCATATTTAAGAGGAGCAAGTTTATCACATATTCCAGAAGCTAATGTGTGACATGTTGCCTCAAAAGCCTGGTGGTGTAAATAGGCTTTTTCAGAATCCATAGGGGTTTGAAAAATATTCTGTAATGACAAACCATACCTTTGGGCTCCTCATTCTATTCATTACCAAATATAGTCTTCATCTCCCTGTTATTTTTATGTTAACCAGTGTGTAAGGTTTTATTCTTGATTCCATACTCTTTACATGCCTTATTTAGAAATAATGTAAAAGTTTGATGTGTTAACACAACACTTTGTGATGTAATTGGTAAGGATGAGGGTATGACTTGAGTAAAAAACACCTACTAAAACCTAAGTGCTGCAGGAACTATGTTGTTGGATATCTAGGGATAGTAGGCCACTCATCAGTACTTGCTGTGTTGATTATCACACAGATGTCTCCGGGTGTTGTCATATTTAGCCCATTGCCACTGGGGATGGCATGTACATATAAGCCATGTTCATTATGATTTTAGGTTATTGTACATGTTTACACATAGATGGATCCACAAGGGCTTAGTCACCAAGAAGTAAATTACTAGCCCTACCTATCTCACCCATTTTCTCTTTTTCTAGATTTTCAGAAATATTTAAGATTTTTAAAAACTGCTTTTAGCATTTTGATGACATTATAATAATCATAAAATCAGTAATAATGGTATTGATAACAATGGGATTAGAAAAAAACAATTTTCCCAAAAAAACAAGGAATGGGGAAATTGGACGAGATCACATAAGGCCTGTTAATTGACTTCTTGGTGACTGAGCACTTGTAGAGCCATCCATGTGTAAACAAAATTCACAAAACAGAACTACAGTGGGCATAATATGTATCTAGCAGCAATGGGTTAAGTGTGGTCTATTGAAGTTGAGACTATCATAACGTGACCGTAATTTTGTAATTTTTGTATTGGCACTAGACGCCAAAATTTTAGTGTTTCATGATGTTTATTTCTTTATTGATTTTTATAGTTTAGGATGTAATTAATTTTTCTTTCGTCTTTCAGGAAATTGTTACCTCAAAGTTTGAAATTTCAAAGATGCAGTGAGGTCTCTGCAGAAACTTCTGTGACATTACAGGTCCATTCCATTACCCAGTGGCACTGATGCTGTTGGGACCCATTACATATTCTGTCTCCAAAGTATAGGAACAAATGGTTCTCTCCCCATTGCCCACCTTATTTCCTCTCTTGACTTGTAAGTTATTGAAAGACAGATTGTGCCTAGGTTAAGCCTTAGAGTGTGAATGGAATCGTCTGAGAGAGTTAGTGAATTATGAAATTACTGTAAAGTTCTCCTTATCATGTAATGCATGTTTTCATCAGCATCTGATTTAGTCATTGTGTTTGAAGGCTTTTCTCTGCTCTTGCATATTTAAGAGGAGCAAGTTTATCACATATTCCAGAAGCTAATGTGTGACATGTTGCCTCAAAAGCCTGGTGGTGTAAATAGGCTTTTTCAGAATCCATAGGGGTTTGAAAAATATTCTGTAATGACAAACCATACCTTTGGGCTCCTCATTCTATTCATTACCAAATATAGTCTTCATCTCCCTGTTATTTTTATGTTAACCAGTGTGTAAGGTTTTATTCTTGATTCCATACTCTTTACATGCCTTATTTAGAAATAATGTAAAAAGTTTGATGTGTTAACACAACACTTTGTGATGTAATTGGTAAGGATGAGGGTATGACTTGAGTAAAAAACACCTACTAAAACCTAAGTGCTGCAGGAACTATGTTGTTGGATATCTAGGGATAGTAGGCCACTCATCAGTACTTGCTGTGTTGATTATCACACAGATGTCTCCGGGTGTTGTCATATTTAGCCCATTGCCACTGGGGATGGCATGTACATATAAGCCATGTTCATTATGATTTTAGGTTATTGTACATGTTTACACATAGATGGATCCACAAGGGCTTAGTCACCAAGAAGTAAATTACTAGCCGTACCTATCTCACCCATTTTCTCTTTTTCTAGATTTTCAGAAATATTTAAGATTTTTAAAAACTGCTTTTAGCATTTTGATGACATTATAATAATCATAAAATCAGTAATAATAGTATTGATAACAATGGGATTAGAAAAAAACAATTTTCCCAAAAAAACAAGGAATGGGGAAATTGGACGAGATCACATAAGGCCTGTTAATTGACTTCTTGGTGACTGAGCACTTGTGGAGCCATCCATGTGTAAACAAAATTCACAAAACAGGACTACAGTGGGCATAATATGTATCTAGCAGCAATGGGTTAAGTGTGGTCTATTGAAGTTGAGACTATCATAACGTGACCGTAATTTTGTAATTTTTGTATTGGCACTAGACACCAAAATTTTAGTGTTTCATGATGTTTATTTCTTTATTGATTTTTATAGTTTAGGCAAGAAACTAAATGTAAGTTAGTGCATGGAGTCTAGGGAGAAGTGTATTTTGTGTTTTATTGTAAAAGGCTAATAATAATGATACACATGAATATTCCGCACATCAAAGCCCAACTTCTCCCAGAAAGAAAAACTTTCCGAAATAGATTTGAATCAAGTGACTGTGAGATCAACTGCTATAATGAAAATGTAGGTACTTGCTTTGAATACACTTGAATGCAGTACTTAAAAAGATCTGTGATAGAAATGAAGATTTGTGTTTTATAATTTATCCTATTATAGGATAGTTGCTGACTGGTTAAGGTTGACACTGAAACCAGAGGAAGCAGATTTTTGTAAATATACTAAGAAATTGATCCAAGAATGAGAATTACCAATATTTCCCCCTCTCTCTAAAGAGACTTCACCTAACCATTGTAATTGTAGATGGTAATGTATTGAACTCTCATTTAATTAAGCTTTAGTCTTTATGTACAGATGTTCAGAATTTTTAATATGTTCTATGTACAAACACAAACACATACAAATAAACACCATTCATTCCCCTCCAAAAAAGAAAATCAACAGATTTAACGTGATTGCATATGAAGGAAAAATCAGTTTACATTATATCCTTCAACATCTGTTTTGATTTGATATGATATAATGTAAAAGTAAATATGTATTATCATTTATGCTGTAAACCATTATGTTAGTAAAGGAAGGTTTATTTGTGTTAGTATCACACTGTTTTTCTGAGCACAGGATTCATCTTAGTTATCATTGTTAAGTTAGCAGCATCCTTCTCTGATGCAAAGCACAGTTTGGTTATTGTTTTGTTCACACCTTGAATTTTGTTCATATGCTAATGGTTATATAGTCTTTGTAATATGTTCGTGGATTGCACAAATACACATTGAATTGTTGTATATTTTCGAGTAGTTTTGAAAAGAAGATGAAACGGCTTCTTTAGATTGTGTTATTTCCTTGTGTTGAGTACTTAAAATTTTAAACATTGTTAGTACTACTACTATCAATTTTTTTTTTTTTTTTTTTTTTTTTTTTTTTTTTTTTTTTTTTTTTTTTTTCATTGGAATATTTTTTAAAAAATACTTCCTGTAATAAGATTGTCAAGATATGTCAAGTGAGAGGTATTTTTATTTATGTCTTGGATATTTTTGGTTACATCATATTGTTTAACAGGACAGGCTTCTGCATTAACCTTTGACTGTATGATATTGATAGAGCTGGAGTTACTCTAAAACTCCGTTAGCAGTTTAATGGCACTTGCTGGGATTTCTCTTCCAAGCATTGCTCTCTGTCCCATCCTAAGACATACTGAAGTTCAGCTTATGTGTAACTAGCTACAATGCAACTCACATTATATAAGGCAGATTAAGCCTGTGTATGATGCTGTTATGCCAAAAAAGTCTATAGAGTTCAAGAACAGAATTTGGGCATTAAATTTTGGAAGTGCTAATTTATTTTTTTATCGTTTATTTTTTTTTCTAATACAAGCAACATCAGGCAGGTCTTCATTGATATTATTGAAGATAACATCTCACATTACATTTCTAAATGATGCCAAAAGTTGTTTGCAAGTGTCTCCTCATCTGAACACAATAGAAGCACAAAGTAGTAGAGGCTCATTAATAATCAAGGCGAGAGGTTTCTCTACATTGCTAATTTCCAATTAATAACTTCCAGTGACAATAAAAATATACATGCATGCCAAGATATATAATATATATATATATATATATATATATATATATATATATATTATATATATATATATATATATATATATATATATATATATATATACATATATATACATATATATACATATATATACATATATACATATACATATACATATACATATATACATATATACATATACATATACATATACACATATATACATATATACATATATACATATATACATATATACACATATATATATATATATATATATATATATATATATATATATATATATATATATATATATATATATATATACATATACATATACATATACATATACATATATATATATATATATATATATATATATATATATATATATATATATATATATATATATATATATATATATACATACATACATATGTACATATGTACATATGAACATATGAACATATATACTTATACATATAATATAATATATATATATACATATTTATATAAATGTATATATAATATAATATTTGTATACATATTCATATACATGTATATATATGATATATATGCATATACATATATATCATATATAAATATATATATTTATATATAACTATATAAATATATTTATATAAAATATATAAATATATTTATATAAAATATATATATATATATATATATATATATATATATATATATATATATATATATATATATATATATATATATACATACATACATACATACATACATATTCATATACATTTATATATAATACATATATATATACATATACATATACATATACATATACATATATATATATATATATATATATATATATATATATATATATATGTATATATATATATATATATATATATATATACATATATATATATATATATATATATATATATATATATATATATATATATATATATGTATATGTATATATATATGTATATATATAATTACATATGTATATATATATAATTACATATGTATATATATATATGTATATGTATATATATATGTATATATATAATTACATATGTATATATATATAATTACATATGTATATATATATATATATATATATATATATATATATATATATATATATATATATATATATATATATATAAATATATAAATATATATAAATATGTATATGAATCAAGAGCCTTTTTTATCAAGTCAGTGTGTCCGTGTGTGTGTGTGTGTGATAAAACCCATAAAAGGATGTTTTGCAAGAGCTTTTTGTGTGAAGTTGTTGCAGTTGATTCTGAGTTTTCATATAGATCATTTTCTTCAAATGTTTGAGAAGTTTTGAATATGAGAAAAGTAATAATGTGTCTGTCAGTGAAAATTCAATGTTATAGTGTGATGCCATTGTTGAAGTATTATTATTATTTTTTGTATTTCTTTATATTTCAAAATATTATTTTTTCTATGGATCACAGTTGTTAAAATTCTGACATGGCTGTGCTGCCCTAACATTTGCAGGAAGTGAAGAAAGTGTGGCACTCTTTTTCAATGAAGAATTTGGATCAGTTTGTTACTACAGTGTTGAATAAAAATGTGTATATAGGACATTTATGAAGATTTTTGGTAAGGAGACATATTTTACTTTTTTATATGGATCAACAGTTTGCTTGTCAACTTTTGAAGTAGAAAAAAAAAATTGTGCTAATTATCTTCTATTTCTTCTTCACTTGAAACTTTGTTGTATTAATTTTATAGTTTTGCTGAGAAGTACCAGTGTATTTATTGGTAACCATTGTGTAATGAATAGATATTACTCAATACTACATATAAAATGTATAAGTTTCTTTATGTATAGTTAGCATTTTCTGATTTATTTGTGGCTATTTGAGTTCTCACTGGATATATTTATTGTGTTAAGTATTCTTCATAAAGTTTGTCACCTAATTCTGCTTTTCCTTTCCCCAAAATCAACAGATGTACTGTATGTTATGTACTGTAACTGTTACTGAACCCTTTTTGGGAAGTGAACCCCCCCAATCCCTTGCCCGTTGTTGTCGTGGGGGGGCTTAGGAGGCGGAGACTGGGACCCAATGATGGGGAACTCCCCAACCTTGGGACTCAGCCCTCGACTCAACTAATTATGCATGGTCTTTTTTTCCCTTCCCACTTTTGTTTCTGTCCCTTCACCAAACCCTTCTGCTATCCACCTCCTAAGGTGTGAGAGCCGTGCTGAAAGGATGAAAGGCTGACTTTGTGCCAGTCCTGAACGGCCTGAGGGAGCCATGGGCACGGTATTCCCCTGATTTAGTTATCTAGCCCTTACCCCTCAAGGGGACCCTGAGGGGTGGACTGCTTTTATCCCCAACATAATCCAGGCTTCCCATGGCCAGTGATGAAAATATATCACCACTGTTAGGGGCAATGAGGCTTGCCCCTTTATCAAATAGCCCCAACGAAGTAAACCCACCCGATTCCCCGACCCCAGGCTCTCCTTTGACCACGGCTCCAAACACTGCAATAACTACCCCTTCACCAATGCCTACTAGTACAGTAGCCAACAATCAACCCTCAAGGGACATTTCCACTCTCCCAGCATGCCCAACTTCAAGACCTCTACCCCCACAACCTCCAACATCAACCACCCCATCCTCCCTTATTAATACCTTACAGCCTTATAGCCCACCTCTCCATAACACTACCTCCATCAACACTACTCCATCTTCGTCACGTCCTCGCCCTTCTACCACCCCTATCTCTAAAACAATCTTGAATACTCTCTTCAGTGCAGCCAAATGGGACCGATATTTCGTGATCCCTCCCACAGCTCCCTACTCTGACAACACCCTTCTCTTCCAACAATGCCTCCAAAAACAAGTAGGTAAAGTCTCTTTCCGTAGCCGACCCGACCGCTCCCGTCTTGTAACAGTAACATCCGAAAACCAAGCCATAGCATTAAAAAAACTAACTGACCTATATGGTAACCCCATCCTAGCAGAACCCCATCCAACCCTCAATACTTGCACCGGAACAGTCTCAATCTCACCAACAAATTGCCCAATCTATGACAAAGATTGGTCAGATTGTGGAGAAGATCTACTTGCCTGTCTCACAGACTACGATGCAACATCAGTACAATGCTATTCCATCCCCCCCAGAGGTCATCGAAAGAAACCCACTAACATAGCCAAAATTACCTTCCGTAGACATGACCTTCCCTTTAACGTCTACATAGGAGGAGAATCCCTCCCTGTTCGTCCATACCAACCTCCCCCACGTCAGTGCCAAAATTGTTGGCGTCTAGGACACCCAGCCAAACACTGCCGTTCCACAGCCAGATGCCCATTATGTGCCCAACCTGGCCATACCCGATCTAACTGCTCTGCACAATCATGCACATGTGCCAACTGTGGCGGCCACCATAATGTATTTTATAGGGGCTGTCCCACCTACAAATTTGAATCTGAGGTAGCAACTCTCAGATTCAAACTCGGACTCACACTGCGTGAACCCAGACAGGAAGCACGTCGACGTGGATTCTCTCTTACTCCTTACTCCAGTAATACTGCTCATTCTAACACTTCTCCTAAACCCACCCCTCCTACATCTAACCCCCCCACTAACCCCACCTACCTTCCCCAGTCAAACTCTTTTGCCATCCTAAATCCAGAAACTCCAATCTCTACTACAGATACTCCAATCACCACTACAACCCCAACACCTTCCCCTCTCCCTCCTCGCACTCCCCGTAACAGACAGAACAAACGTTCCACCCCCTCTTCCCCTACCACACAATCACCCCCATCATCCTTTGCCCGTACTCTTGAGACACCAGTCCTCTCTTCCCCCCCTCACAAGAAATCCTTTATCCCCCAAAACTCCCCAACCAACTCCACAGAAGAAACTATTAAAAATATTCAAGATTACTTAATGAAAACCGACACTCAACCTACAACTCCTGCTCCTTCCACACTCCAAGTAATTGCTGATATCCATCCTCCTCCTAACGATATCCCCCCTACACCCTACCCTCCTACCCCCTCCCAACACAGCCCATCCCCCCTGACCCCAACCCTGCCCACATTAACTCTCCCACCATCCCCTCTATCCCTTCCACTCCCTCCTGGATACACACGTGAATCCCTTATGTCACAAGTATCCCCTTCCTCAGACCCTCCATCTCCTAATACCCCTCCTGATAGAACACCAACTCCCACACCTCTCCTATCTCAAACCTCTCAGTCCTTATCCCACCCTCTAGCTGCTT